CAACCCCTGCCCCGGACCCCCACCCCGCTCAGTGCAGCCGAGAGTGCCTTAGACCCCCCAGCCCGCGGGGAAGGAGGAGGCTGCGCCCACCCGGGCCCCACGGAGCTGCCGGGGCCCTGGGGGTCGGGGCCGGGGCAGGATCCCCCCTAGAGACTCAATAAACACCTTAGAGACCGGCTGGGGCAGCTCTGCCTGCTCCTCCCGGCCGGGCTCGGCCCCCTCGGGGCACCGCTGGACTGGGGACCGCTGCCAGAGGCCACCCGGCCCAGAGGGTCACGGGACAAGGGGCTGTAGGGCAGGGTCTGGGGCCGGGGAAGAGCCCCTTGTGCCCCGATGCTTCGGCTGGGGCACCCGAGCAGCCTGGCGACGGCCCCGTGTCATCGGGGTGGCGGTGCCCACAGGGGCCGGGGAGAGCTGTCCTGGGGCGCCGCACCGGAGAGCCGAGGAGCCGACTGCCCGGGCACGGGGATGCCGGAGAGGCCCCGGCTCAGCCGCAGGAGCAGGAGGGGAGATGGAGAGGACCCCTCCTGTTGCTCCAAGTGTCGGGGGTGTTTCAGGCAGACAAGGTTCCTTGGGTGAATTTGATATCTTTTATTAGACCGACCCAAATGGTTGGAGAAGAGTTATTAAGCAAGCTGCCGAAGACATTGGGGGCTGGAAGGGGACCGCACGAGATCACCGAGGCCAGCCGTGCTCAGTGCTTGGCGTTGGCTGCAGCCGAGGCTGGGGCTGGGGCTGGGCTGTGCCAGTGCTCCTGCCGGCATCGACCCCGCAGGGTCCCGGCTGGAGGGTCTTGCCCTGCGCCCACACTGCACTGGGCAGGAAGGGATTTCCCCCCCTGCTCAGACTGGTCCGCACTGGGAGTGCCTTAGAAGCATAGCAAATTCAGGGATGAAGGGCCCTCAGGGGGTCACATCCAGTGCAAACCCCTGCCCCAAGCAGGACCAGCCCCAACCACATCATCCCAGACAAGGCTTTGTCTACCCGGGTCTTAACCACCTCCGAGGGCGCTTGTACACGTCATCGAAGACCGGAGGAAATTGTTGCTCCTCCTCGGGGCTCGGCGGTGGGGTGCTCGTTTTGCACCGGCCGCTAATCAGGAGTGCTGGGTGGGCACCGGAGCCCCACACGTGAAGACCCGAAGGGCAAGCCGTCTTGGGATGCTTGCAGCCGTCACCCTGGCAGCCCGGCTGCGTGTCCGGGGGACCTCGGGCACCAACGTGGGGTGCTGTTTTTGGGAAGCATGAAAGGCTGCCTGGGCCTCACCTCCGGCCTCGAGCGCAGCCCAGGCTGCCAGTGTAAGCCGTACGGGAGGGGGGTGGATTTGGGCTGAAGTGCGGCTTTTTTGGGTTGGGCTGCCATAAACACTCTCCCTGCACAGCCCACCATCAGAGCCCTGCGCAAGGCCAACGTTTCTGCTGGTCAGTGAAGCATTTTCGGTTGCTCTCCCCGAGCAATGCGTTTGCATGGTTAATTTGGGGGAACACCAGGAAGGGGCTTTGCCTTTTTTTAAGCCTGTTTTTCCATGCGGCATCGTTCACCATTTAAAAAAAACCAACCAACCTCAAGCTTGAAATGCAGCTACAACTCTTGGTGCAGAGATGATCCCTTTTATTGGAGCACCTGGGAAATGGCAAAAAAATAATTAATTTTTCTGCAAGCTTTTGGGCTCAAATGCCCTTCCTCAGGCTCGGGAAAAATTAAAATACTAAAAAGTCCCCACCAGTCAGTAGGAAATAAACTTCATTTTTGCACAGAGGAAAGGACTCCTGCCTGAGCTGCACAACAAAAAGCAACTCAGAGACGTTTTCACTGACCCAGAGGGACCGATTTTCCATCTCCAGCTCCCTCTGTGCAAAAATGAAGTTTATTTCCTACCTAGGGAGACTTTTTACCATCTTAAATTTTCCCAGAGCCTGAGGAAGGGCATCTGAGCCCAACAGCTTGCAGGAAAGGAATGTTTTTTTGCAGTTTCCTAGTTGGTCTAATAGACACGGCCACCAAATACCCACTGCAGCATGCTCGCAATTCTGCCTCAGGCAACACAATGGGAAACCACGGAGCAAACCCGGCTTATCTCGTGTTCGGCAGGCGTTGAGGGCCCGCCGCCCCATGGCCCGCACCCCTTCCCCGGCTTCCCCTCCCATCGCTGGGGCGACTCTTGGGGTTTGCGGGATCGCACCCGAGGGGATTGCTGTCTCCTTGGATGCTGCAGCCATCACCCTGGGGAGAAAGCTGGTGCATTGCTGCTTGGGGCACAAAGCGGGGTGCTCCTTTTGGGACACGCTGTCCCTGCCCCCACTAATCCGAGCCTGGCCCCAGCACATCCCCTGCCTGCGTGTCAATCCCGGTCTCCTGCATCCCCGGTGACCACGATCCCGGTGACTAGATCCAGGTGCGCCTGGGGTTTGTAGGAAGAAACAATCAGGGCTCGGGGCAGAGGTGATATCTTTTATTAAACCAACAAGAGCTCTGCAAAAAAGAAAAATCTTTAATTGCAAGCTTTTGGGCACAAACCCCCTTCATCAGGCTTCGGAGAAAAGATTGTAAAAGTTCTCCTGGGTGGAAATGAAAGTTCGTATTTCAGAGGATTTCACAGAGGAGTGGATAGATGGGAAACTCGTCTGGGCAGCGTGGGCATGGCTGGTCTGGAGCCTCTCACCTCCTGGGGGGGCCTGGGAAGATGCAAATGACAAAGGCAGGGGCAGGGGCAGGAGCTTGGGTTGCAGGCCCTCACAGCTGCTTCCTGCTTGGGAAAATACAAAGATTGCCTTTAAAGAAATTGGCTAAAATATGCTCTCGTCCTTGTGTCAGGGGATCAGGTTGTAGCCGTGTTGGGCTAGAGGAAAAAGCACTCGCAGGGCTCCACAGAGGCGATCGCTCTTATTGGACCAACAAGATCTTTGCATAAAAAACCGACCGACCAACCAAACAGCAAAACTAACTGCAGGCTTTCGGGCTCAAACACCCTTTGTAGGGTCTGTAGGTGCACCTTACAGGACAGCATGAACCCCCTTTTTTATCTTTCTTTGTATTTTACACTGGTTGCTTACGGACCCGTGCCGTTGCACTTGGGCTGCCTAGAGAGACAGACCCCTTTTTTCCCCGCAGCGTGTGGTCGTCCCCTCCGCACCCCCGGTTCTTCTCCAGGCGCCTGCAGGCCCCCTCACCCCCATGTCCTCTCCCTTCCCATAGCTCCTTAAAAGAGATGCTGGGCACATTTACCTGCTGGCACTTGGCACCGCAGGTGTGCGGAGCAGACTCAGCCTTACCTGCAGAGTGAGCCCCGGGCACCCCTGGGCACCCCGCGCTGCCCGCAAGCTGCAGCCGAGCGACCTGGGGGGCACTTCTCCAAGGACCGGCTTTGCACGGAGCCAGACATGAGCGTCTCCTCTGCAGCCGTCTGCCCCACGTCTGGACACCGACACAAGGCGGAGCAGCCGCACGGGCCAAGAAAGGACTCGGTTCAGGAGGACGGAGCGAGCCCAGCTCCCTTTTAACCCCACCGCCGTTTGTGGGCCAAAGACTCCCCAAGTCACATCACCTGGCAGGCAATGTCATGTCTATCCTTGGGGCTTGCAAATAGCAATCCAGCCAGCGCGGTGCCCCCGCTCCCCGTCCTCCGCCCGCAGACGTTCCTGTGCTCACCATCCGTCCCAGTTCCTACCGGGACCCCCAACATCAACTGCTTTCCCAGGTGGGGGTGCACAATACATCATCCTTCACCCTTTCTGGGGTGCTAGACTGGGGCGACCCCAGGGTTCACCCCTGTGTTTCCCACATTGGCATTACAGTTCTCCCCGACACCGATCAACTCAGCCGACGCTGGTGCTTTCTCCTGATCTCTCCCAGTGCCAACCCAGGAGTGACCCCGGGCCCGGGCCCGGGCCCCCTCCTCCTCCCATGTCTGCACAGCTTTTTGGCAGGAAGGCGCCTTCCCGGGTCTTTTCCACTCCCAGCACCCTGCTTCTCTCCCCCCCACATTACACACACCTGCACGGTCTGCAAATGCAGGGGTGCCGGGGGCCCCCCCCGAGCTGGAGGCCGGCCAAGAAATCCTTTCACATTTCCCTGCAAGCATCACAAGTCACTTTGCCCAGCAGCCAACAACTTCTCTTGTTATTCAGACTAGGGGCTCCCCTGGCCACCCCCACGCTGCCCCACGTCGTGGACGGCACAGGTAGGCAGCCCGAGGGGTGCACCCTGCCCGCCACCACTGGCCAGGAAACCGCTGCCCACCCGCCAGCCCTTCCCCTGCTCAACCCTGCCCTAGGTCATGGGTCCAAGTCCCCGCTGGTGGCCCGGAGCAGGCCCCTCGGCCTGCCTGAGAGGGGCCCGATCCAGCGCTAGATGAGCCATCAGGGGACTCCCTACCGTGTGCTAGCAGTATGGGGCACAGGACACACAACACCCCCATGTTGACCGTCCACGAGAGGGCAGCAGGGCCACATTCCACCCCCCCCATAAGGGGCTCTGGCATGCCTGCCCCCCAAACTCCCCCCCCAACCCTATGCTGTCTAGCACAGGTTAGGGGTGGGGGGAGAGGAGACCAGGTAACGGGGGGGGGGAGGACCCCCAAAGCCCAACCCCATGCCCCCCCCGTGCCGCCCAGCCATGAGGATGCAGCCCCTGTGCCGAGATCGGGGTGGGGAATCCATAGATTCATAGAAGTCGGGTGGGAAGGGACCTTGTAGATCTTCAAGTCCGACCCCCTGCCTGGGCAGGAGGGAAACTGGGCTCAAGTGACCCCGGCAAGGTGTTCGTCCAGCCTCCGCTAGGGTGTGGTTGGCCTTCTTGAGCCAGCCGCAGACCCCGCACCAGGTGGTCGCCCGTGGCCAGGAGCAGATGCAACACGGCGTCTCCCCTGGTGGGGCTGTGCACCTCCTGGGTTAAGTGGAGGTCCTGTATGATGTGCCCTCACCAGCTCCCAGTCCCTCCCAGTGCAGGGTGGCCTGAGGACTGGGGCCAGTGGGGCCCCCAGTAGGGCAGGGCCCGGGGGTGGTGGGGCTGCCCCAGGCCCACGGCAGCAGTCAGAGGGCTGCAGGCCTGGGCAGGGGGAGCCGGCATGGACCTTGCCCTGCAGCCTGGGGAGGGGGAGCTGAGCCCGGCCTGGCCCTGGCATCAGCTTAAAGATTAACCCCAGCGCCTGCCCCCTTGCCCCCCCCTGCCTTGCCAGGCCCCGTGTGCCAGGCTGGGCCATGGAGGTGCCCGGGGCCGCGGGGAAGGGGCTGATGCTGGATATGGTGAACCCCTGCAGCGTTTAGGGGCCTCGGCTTTGCCCGCAAGGGGGTGGAGAGGGCAAAGGTGCAGGGACAGGGATGAGGCCACCTGGAGTAGCAGTGGCAGAGTGGAGGGGGTCCCCAGGCTCGGGGTGCATGAGCCAGGTGCCTGGAGCAGGGCAGGCCGGGGCGCTGAGGGCAGCAACGCACCAGAACAGGCTTCCAGAGAGGTGGGGGCTTCTCCATCCTCGGCTGGGACGATGTAGTCGGGGCTGGTCCTGCTTGGAGCAGGGGGTGGACTGGATGCGACTCCCGGGGTCCCGTCCAGCCCTCGTTGTCTGATTCACGGACGCATGTAGATGGATGGAGGCAGAGAGCGGGGGTCCCGGCCACGGCTGACACCGGTCTGGGGCCCGGCAGGGGCTGG